ACTGGCTGCCTCATTCTCCATTCCTACTAGCAGTGAGTAAGGACTTGTTTCTCCACATCCTCACCAACACCTACATCCTAGTTTTCCTGACAATAAGCATCCTCATGGGTGTGTCGCAACCTCTCATTGTCGCTTTGATTTGGGTTTCCCGGGTGGCTGGTGACACGGAGCATCTTTTCATGTGCTTGTTGGCCACGGGTGTATCTTCTTTGAGAAATGTCTGTTTCAATCCTTTGCTATTTTAAATTAGGTGATTTGTCTTTTTATTGATTTTTTTTTCTTTTTTCTTTTTTTGAGACAGAGTTTCACTCTTGTCGCCCAGGCTGGAGTGCCATGGAACCATCTCAGCTCATTGCAACCTCTGCCTCCAAGGTTCAAGAGATTCTCCTGCTTCAGTCTCACGAGTACCTGGGATTACAGGCATGCACCCCCACACCCGGCTAATTTTCATATTTTTAGTAGAGATGTGGTTTCGCCATGTTCGAACTCCTGACCTCAGGCGATGCACCCGCCTCAGTCTCCCAAAGTGCTGGGATGACAGGTGTGAGTCACCACAACTGACCTTTATTGTTGAGTTGTAAGGGCTCTTTATGTATTATGGATATTATATATACCCTTATCAGATAAATGACTGGCAAATATTCCCCTCATTTGGTGGGTTGTCTTTTTACTTTCTTGATGGTGGCCTGTGGGGCACAAAAAGTCTTTAACTTCAAAGAAATCCAAATATCTCTATATTTTGTGTTGTCTTTTGTTGTTTTCGGTGTCCTTATTTATTTAATTTTTTTTTTGAGACAAGGTCTCCCTTTGTCACTCCCCCAGCTAGTGGTGTCATCACTGCTCCCTGCAGCCCCGACCTCCCTGGGTTCAGCCATCCTCCTGCCCCAGCCAACTGGGTGGTCAGGGCTCCAGGTGTACGCCATCACACCCAGCTAATGTTTGTATTTCTTGTAGTGATGGGGTCTTGCTATGTTGCCAAGGTTGGTCTCAAACTCCTGGCCTCAAACAACCCTGCCTTGGCCTCCCAAAGTGCTGGAATTACCAGCGTGAGCCACCGTGCCTGGCCTTTATTCATTTTTATGTGGCTAAACACATTTTGCAAGGAACCCAAGCCCTTGGTGAGCTGGGTGGGTGCAGATACACATGCATGGATGGAGCCCAGGCCCTTGGTGAGCTGGGTGGACGCAGACACACATGTGTGGATGTGGGCATGGGCAGGCACAGGTGTGGTGGGGAGAGCGTGCCCCGCGTTAGGTGTCAGGGGAGCTCAGAAAGATTGAGGCAGTCAAGGAGGACTTCCTGATGGAGGAGGCTGGTCCTTTGAAATGCTGGGTGGGGACCTAGCCCCCTTCAGTCTGGTTCAGGGGTGGGGCCCCACAGTCCCCCCTCACATTGGGGGTGTGTTCCCCTCCTCCTTTTGGAGCCCAGCCCCAGCGTGTAGGAACCATGAACCATGAGACCACAGGGCTGGAAGTACAGAGAACAATTAATTTTGACTTAGAGGAGCTGTCTTAAATTGGATAGAAACTGGCGAAAACAGGAATAAGAGGGAAGCTGAGCCAAGAGCAAACAGACGGAAAACTCCCCAAGAGCCAGGCGCCTGGCGGGGCTCTTGGAGCAGCTGAGTGGGAAGAGGCGCAGGACATTGCTGGGCGATCGTGTCATGTCCCAAGGCGGCCTCCCCGTACTACCCCACAGGAGCGGCGGCCGCGCTGGCGGGGAAGATGGGAACGTGGCACTCTGCCCTCCCTGCAATTGGCTTATCTGCGCTGAGCTCACTCAATTCCAAGGATTAATTTGGAAATAATTAAAATTCTGTGCAAAACAAGCAGTGGGCTGGGCTGGCCAGCGGGCTGACACGCACAGAGCCCTTTCATCACCAGTGCAGAAATCTAATTAGTGTCAGATTAAGTCAGCCACAAATCAGCCAGTCAGGAAGCCTCCGCCAAAGGCAGCTGAATTATTAATTAATTATATATCAATTGTATAATTAATTATAAATAAATAAATAAATAAATAATTTTAGAGTTGGCATTTGGCTCTGTTGTCTAGACGGGAGGGCAGTGGTGTGATCATGGCTCACTGCGGCCTTGATCTCCTAGACATAGCAATCCTCCCACCTCAGCTTCCCCAGTCCTTTTGTTTTATTTTAAAAAAGGACTCCTCTGGCTGCTGAGTTAAGAATAGACTCTAGGCCGGATGCGATGGCTCACGCCTGTAATCCCAGCACTTTAGCAGGCCGAGGTGGGCAGATCACAAGGTCAGGATATCAAGACCAAGCATCTACGGTGCAGCCAAGCTGCGCACGCGCACGTTGAGCGAAGAGCGCGGCCCAGTGGCCCCAGACTGTGCGTCCCTGACCAAACTGAGAACTGGCTGGGCGCCGCGGTGGGCGCAGGCGAGAACGGGCACTGCGCGTCCCCGCGCGCGGTCGTGGAGCAGGAGGAGAGCAGCGCGGTGGCGACTGGCGGCGGCGTGGGAGTCGCCAACGGGCAGGGGGCAGGGCCGGTGGCAGCTGAGTCAGGGGCGCTGACCGCCTCCAGGACCCGGGCTCCTGGGCTCGGCAGCCGCCTGTCTCGCGCCAGCTCACGCTCTGTGGAGTTCTTCACGTGGCACCGGCGCTGGGCGCACAACAGCTGTGCCGCCGCAAGGTGGCCCAGGCCCGCGAGAAGCGCTTCACCTTCGTGCTGGCCGTGGTCATGGGCGTGTTTGTGCTCTGCTGGTTCCTCTTCTTCTTCAGCTACAGCCTGTACTGCATCGGCTGCCAGGCCTGCCAGGTGCCCGCTCTTCAAGTTCTTCTTCTGGAACGGCTACTGCAACAGCTCGCTCAGCCAGGTCATCTACACTGTATTCAGCCAGGACATCCGGCGATCCTTCAAGCACATTCTCTTCCGACGGAGGAGAAGGGGCTTCAGGCAGTGACTCGCGCACACCTGGGGATCCTGGACAGCTCCGCCCTGGGGCTGGGCAGAAGGGGTGGCCAGGACAGGGGAGCTTTCCTAGAGACCCGGGATGGATTGGCCTCCAGGGTGCAGGGGAGAGTGTGCCAGGGCAGGAGCTTGGCAGAGAGACAGCTGGGCTCTGGGGAGTGGGGAGAAGAGAGGAGGACACCCCTTCGCCTTCCCGCCTCAGCAAGGGGCTGCTTCTGGGACTCCCTGCCTGAATCCAGCTCTGGGGGCCCTGCCGAGGTGTGGCTGTGAGGTCGGGGTTTTAGAGAGCAGTAGCCCCCTAAATGGGCCAGCAAGGAGCCGCCCCAAACACACCACCACGCCCCATCCCCTCTGACCAAGGGCTAACATCTCCAGGACCTAGTCAGGGGGGTGGCTACCAGGGGGCAAGGAGAAAGCACTGACGATCTTTGATTACTGAAAGTATTTCAATGTTTGCCAAAAACAACAGCCAAAATGAACTAGTTTTTAAATAAACCTTCATAATCTAAAAATAAGAAGAAGAAGAAATAGAGACCATTTTCATGACCATAAGAGGAAAGGATTTCTTAAGCCATAAAAAGTACTAATTATTAATTTAAAGGTGGATAATATGAACTACATTAAAATTGAGGGTGTTTATGTAATAGAAATCATCATAAGGAGAATTTAAAAAGTGAGCCTAAGTAGGCCAATATAGTGAAACCCCGTCTCTACTAAAAATACAAAAGAATTAGCTGAGTGTGAGGGCAGGCGCCTGTAATCCCAGCTACTTGGGAGGCTGAGGCAGGAGAATCGCTTGAACCCGGGAGGCAGAGGTTGAAGTGAGCCAAGATCTTGCCACTGCACTGCAGCCTGGGCGGCAGTGCAGACTCCATCTCAAAAGAAAAAAAGAAAAAAAGGGACTTATCTGTAGAATATATATCATTCCTAATCATAAGAAAAATATTATTTTTAATTGGACAAAAAGCCTGGGCAACATAGAAATACCCTATCTCTATCAAAAAAATTAGCTGCGCGGGGCCAGGCACCATGGCTTACACCTGTAATCCCAGCCCTTTGGGAGCCTGAGGCAGGTGGATCACTTCAGGTGAGGAGTTCAAGACCAGCCTGGCAAATATGGCAAAACCCTGTCTCTAAAAACAAATACCAAAAAAATTAGCTAGGCATGGCGACCCACACCTGAAATCCCAGCTGCTCCCAAGGCTGAGTCAGGAGAATATCTTGAACCTGGGAGGCAGAGGTTGCAGTGAAGTGAGATTGCACCACTGCACTCTAGCCTGTGTGACAGAGCAAGACTCCATCTCAAAAAAAAAAAAAAAAATCTGGGTGTGGTGGCATACTTGAGAAGTTGAGGCAGGAAGATCCATTGAGCCCAGGCAGTGACCTGTGATTGTGTCACTGCACTCCAGCCTGGGTTACAGAGGGAAACCTTGTCTATTAAAAAAAAAAAAACAAAAAAATCATGCAGAAGCGCATGCACACACACACACACACACACAGAGAAAAGGGCCTATAAGATCTTCAGTTGAACTTCTAATGAGAGTGAGCTGAAACTCATAGAACCTTCAGATTCAATAATGAGCTAGAATGGTTCATAAAACTCGGGAAAGTGCAGTACTTAACTATTATAGTTTTATAAAGGATGCAGATCGAGGACCAGTCATAAGATAGGAGTGGGCCCAGGAGGGTCATGAATGCAGAGCTTCTGTGCCTCCTCCCTATGAAATCAGGGCATGTCACCCTTCCAGCACACCCATGTGTTCACCAACCTGGAAGTGCCACTGAACTTCCACACCCAGCGTTTTTATTGGGGTTTATTTATGCAGGCAAGATTGATCAAATCATTGGTCATGTGTTAGAACTCAATCTGCAGCCACCCTCCCCTCCCCAGAGTTGAGGCGGGCTCCAAGTCCCAGCCCCCTGATCCCATGGTTGGTCTTTGTGGTGAGCAACCCCATCCTGAGTCATCTCATACCATAAACCCAGATGTGATTCAAGGGCCTCAGAAATAACAAAGACACTCTTGTTACTCAGGGAATTCCAGCGATTCGGCATTTCCCTCCCAGGAACCAGGGGGAAAGGCCAGATTCTTGAGCATACCACAGTAGTGCACTGAGTTCATCTGAAAGTGAACAGAGCCTGCGGGCCATCCCTGGTGTTTCAGTGGGGGCAGTCACTTCTCGTGCTGACCAACTTTAAGGACATTAAGACATTTTTTTCTTTCCTTCAACAGACTGAGCAAGTGGAGTAGCAGAACCAGGAGCCTCTTTCATACATGAGGTGAGGGTTGGGGGACATTGCTTGTTCTTTTTGTTTGCCACTCGGGCTCTTGCAGGGGGCTGGGTGGCTGAGGTGGAGAGCACAGCTCTGGAATCTGTCTGCCCGGGTTGGAATCCTGGCTCTTCCCTCTCTATGTGGCAGCGAGTGCATTACTTCACCTCTCTGTCTTCATTTATTCATCTATAAAATGAGGATGACATTAACAAGAGCATGCTGGTGAGAATTAATCATCATCCAAGAGCCTGGCTGATAATAAGCGCACAATAGTTTTGTTATTTTCATTATAAACCGTGAAATATTTCAGCTGAAAGGGACCTGGAGGCCATCAATCCAACTCCCTGTTTGCTGATAAGAAAGCTGGTCCCAGAAGGAGCAGGTTGTTTGTAAAGACCATAGTCCAGAGGCAGGGAAACCCAGAACGCAGGAGTGACTGCTTACTTCTGGTTACCTGTTCAGCCAGGACCCCAGCTGCCCACCCCCGCCTCCAAAGGCTTTCTCTGTGTGCTGGACTTGCAGATGTTTTTCCACTACTGCAATTTTTTTTTTTGTTTCTTGGTTGTTTTTTCAAGTTTACCCTTGCTTGTTTTAATGTATTATGGATGGCTTATGTGAGTAACCAACATTGTCTCTTTGAACTAAGTGCTACATTGTGGACAAGGCCAGCCCTTTTACTTCTAAGCCCTTTTTCTGAGTATGTGGCCCTCATCAGGCACGTGTCCGGGGATACCAGCTTATAGGTTTCTGAGCCCAGATCTTCAGATGCAGCTGCTCAGAGCTCATACCCTTCTCCCAGACTTTCAGTCTCTGCTTATCGACCCAAACTTTTTTAACATCAGTTTTGCTCCAAATGATATGGCAAAGTCTTTGATCAGCTGGAACTTGAACAGCCTTTTAAAAAAATCTGATATTGGCTGGGTGCAGTGGCTCATGTCTGTAATCCCAGCACTTTGGGAGGGCGAGGCGAGCAGATTACAAGGTCAGGAGTTCGAGACCAGCCTGGCCAACATGGTGAAACCCCGTTTCTACTAAAAATACAAAAATTAGCTGGGTATGGTGGCAGGGGCCTGTAATCCCAGCTACTCCAGAGGCTGAGACAGGAGGCTCACTTGGTCCTGGGAGATGGAGGTTGCAGTGAGCCAAGATTGTGCCATTGCACTCTAGCCTGGGTGACAAAAGCAAGACTTCATCTGAAAAACAAAGCAAAACAAAAATACAAAAATTAGCTGGGCATGGTGGTGGGCACCTATAGTCCCAGCTACTTGAGAGGCTGAGGCAGGAGAATCACTTGAACCCAGGAGGCAGAGAGGCTGCAGTGAGCTGAGACCATGCCACTGCACTCCAGCCTAGGCGACAGAGCAAGGCTTCATCTCAAAAAAAAAAAGTTTGATATTGTGGTTTCTTCTCATACTTGTTGACGTTTGTTTTTATTTTTACTTTATATAACAATGACGTATTGTGCATACTTTATACCAGGCATAAAATACCAAGCATTTTATTTGTATATATATAAGATGATATATATATATAACTGATATGCTAAATTACATATACATCTATATATAAAATTGTATTCAGTTCTCAAACCACTCTAGCAAGCTGGTAGTATTCCTGTTTTACTAGTGAGAAAACAGGTTGAATGTGACTTGCAGTGCATTGACGGATAATGGACATAAGAAGCACATGGACACTGCTCTGTCATGTCAAAATCCCAGACGGCAGCAAGCTGCTAATATTGACAGGTTATAGGATTCAGGTTTCTTTTTTGCTGAGGAGCAAATGCTGAATGTTAGACTTATGCCTTGTGGGTCTGCATATTAAACAGCAGTTATCAAGGCTTGGCCGATTTTGTTTATACAAAATGCTTTCAAATTTCATAGGTAATCTTCCTGCCCACCCCACCACACACACACAAGACCTCATTTCTTGACCAGCGTGTTGTAGGATGGACCGCATTGGCAGCTGCCTCCACAGCATTTCACCTTTGCTTGTGTGTGGAGGCCGAGAGGGGCCCACCTGTGGTGAGGAGGACTCCGGAGAACTGGGGACACAGCAAAGCCCTTAGGACGGATACTATCTTATCTTTTGAGTCCCTTTGGCATTTCAATAACAGTCACTGTGTTCTCTGGAGCTTCCTTTAAAGAACCTTAGGACCCATTTCTTCACATGAGGAAGAATCAGGGTGTTGACCCCTGGACACCTGATGCCTCGACAGTGCCCCCACAGTAGGATCAATAGTAGACGACAGTCACAGTCATTTAGACATGGGCAGGAGCAGCCCTGGCTTTGGCCGCCATCTGCTTGTTTTGCTCCCAGCAGCTACTTGCAGGCATCTGAAAGCACCAGTGAGTGTGTGTGTGCCTCTGAGGCAGCCCTCCTGAGGCACCTATGCTCAACATCCATCCTCCTGGCCCCTGGCCTGCAGGAGCCTCCCATCCACCTGGCTTGTCCAGGTCCATAGCTGGGAAGGGAAAGGAGGAGGTGAAGGTGCAGGGAGAACACACCGGGACTCCACACCCATAACCACGTTCTGTTTGTTCACCCTAGGAAAGACTGTTGCCATTTCAGCGGAAGGGAAATTCCTAGGACTGGCTGTCTCCTGCCAAGCTCGGTGGAGCATCTGCACCTTGGCTGTGTCTCCTCTGCTTTTGCCAGTTTCCTCTCACTGAGAGGATGGAGGTGTCCGCACAGCTTTGGGCCTCATGAGGGATCTGCCTCCTGAGCAAAGAGCTCTTGATCCTGATTCCATGCACAGTCCTGCAGTAAGGAGCCCAGAAGGAACATGTGTTTCTTGTTAAAACTGCTCTTGTCCTCTTTTCTTACCAGATTATGAAGTTTGTTTCCAAGGGGAGGGTTTAAAAATGGGATCCTGTAAGCAGACTTGGGCAGGCTCCTTTTGAAATAGGTTGTCTGTATATATTCTAATGTTTTGTAGAACACATGTGCCTGTTTAAGTATATTGATGTGGATAATATTAAATATCTTGATTATTTAATTCTTTGTATTGTTTCTGAGAAGTTGGGAAATTACCATTATATATTTACAACTCAATGACTTTTGTATTTTATTTTTTTCAAAATAAAAGCTTTCAATATGAAGCATTCTGGTAGTTACATGTTTACATTAATGTGATTTCAGAGAAGCACAGACCTTATCAGATGGTGATGTGATAAACCAAAGTTTCCTTGGTTGGCTGTATTGTAGATACTCCCCTGGAGCCATCACCTTTTGGGGGTATGGTGGATAGAGACAGGGTCTCGCTACATTCCCCAGCCTGGACTCAAATGATCATTCTGCCTCAGACTCCCAAAGTGCTGGGATTACAGGCGTGAGTCACTGCACCTGCCTTTGCTTTTTGTCTGATAGGCTCCTTCTCAATTCTCTTGTCTCAGTAAGCCTCGCTTCCTCAGAGAGATTTTTCCTAGCCTCTTAAACTAAAAGGTAACTTGCCTGCTGCCTGCCTTCTTCATGGGACTTAACACACTTTGCAGTGTTTTATCTGTTGCCTTTTTTATTATCTGTCTCCTTCACCAGCCGGTAAGTTCCTGGAGTACCAACACTATGTTTTTTCTTGTCTATTGTACTTTTGGCACCTAGCAAACTGTCTGGTACTTTCTAGAAACCAGGCAAAATACTTGGTGAGTGACTGATTAATCCTCTAAACAGCCTTCTGACAAACATACTGTTTTACAGATCAGGGAACAGGCTTGGCCAGGTCAGGTCACTTACACAAGACCCCCAGCTACTGCCACGGGTGACCTGGCATTCAGCTGGGCCCAGGCACAAGCCTGACTCTAATGTTCTCTCCACTCCACTCCCCTAGCCCTGTCCCATTCCATTTAAATGAATATGTCCAGCCTGGGTAACATAGAGAGACCCTGTCTCTACAATAAAATTTTTTTAATTAGCCAGGCATGGTGGTGTGCACCTGTAATCCCAGTTACTTGGGAGGGTGAGGCAAGACAACTGCTTGAACTTAGGTAGTGGAGGTTGCAGTGAGCCAAGATTGCAGCACTATACTCCAGCTTGGAGGACAGAGGGAGACTCAAAAAAATTTAAAATTAAAAGAATGCTGCTGTCAGACCAATCTTGTGTTTAACACTTGTTGTAAGTTACTCATTCGCTCCAAAACCTTTAATTTCCAAAACACCTCTTTTTCAAAGAGTGGATTTTATTTTCAAACCTGGGAAAAGAGGTGTTCAAGATGGGAAGGAGATGGAAGCAGGAGGATGGCTTTAGATCAGGAATTCAAGACGAGCCTGGTCAATATAGCGAGATCTTGTCTCCAGAAATTTTTTTTTTTTTTACTTAGCTGGAAGTGGTGGTGCATGCCTGTGGTCCCAGATTCTCTCACATTAATCAATTTACTGTGAAATTTATCATGTGACTTCCATTTTCAGTGGGTTCTTATTTAAAATAAAATATTTTATATCTTTAATTCTTTATGCACAAAATGATAGAAAGGAAAATGGAAACTGAATTTCTAGGTTTCTGGTGCTATTGACACAATACTATACTCGGTGTCTAAGGAGTATAGTTTTTAAAAAATTGGAAAGCAAAAATTGATGTGAATATAATCAGTTTTCAGAGAAATTTCACTTCCACTGTGATTCTCATCTAGAGTTGTAATAACTGAATTGAAATACAAAGATAGAAAAACTGCTGAAAGATCAAGAGTTTATATATAGAATTTTAAATTTATTTATAATCAACTTTAGATGTTTAAGTAATCATTGAGCACATACTATTATAACACCAGTATGTTAAGATGTAATCTGAAGATTTAACAAAGGAAAACAGAATAAATTTTTTATATTTTTAAATAACAATGACTTTCTCTAGTGATATCTGGGAAACTTGAATACTAATTCCATTTTCCCTAAGTACACGGGAATTATGATGTTTCTATTATTAGCAGCAGCCTTGCTAAACTCTTAAACTTCATTACTATTATAGATCAGGGTATCCTTCTTTTATTTGGCTTATGGCCTATTCATTCTTTCCATTTAACCTAATGAATCAGAAAACAGTTTTCAGTAGATTATTTAGGGAAGAGCTGGCAGGTACCAAAACCGCTTTGAGTATGAAAAACAGGCACCGTCTTATCTCCTGGTGGGAGTAGAAAGGTGTGTGACTTTTCTGGAAAGTCACTGGGGATTGATAACTAACATCATCCATTTTGTTTGACCCAGGAATGTCAACACTGTACTGGAAATTCATGCTTACTAAATGTGTCAGTGTTCATTTCAGATATTTTTGTGACCTGAGAAAAATGGAAACAAGCTAAATGCCCATCAAGAGTACAAAGAAAGTGATGGCTTAGCTTTATTATTATGCAACTATTTAGGCTATAGCCAATATAAGTATTTAACAGCATAATTAAATAGGTGTTCAAGTGATAAATAATGATACTTGGTATATAGATTATAACTTTTTTCTAGTTTATAGCTTTTTTCTAGGTAGTAGAGATAAAGAAAAATACAACAAGATTTAAATGGTAAATGTCTTCAGGTTGGGATTATATTCTTTTATCATTATATGTATACATTATCCTTTATATTTACATGTTCCCTGAATCTTTACTTTTAAAAATCAGTATGCTGGTTTATTTCAGAAAGCCATTTGAGGCTTAAGAATGGAATCTTCAACGTAATTGTGATATTTAACTTCATAACTGACATAGACATCACTAAACATCCTATGATGATTTCTTCATGGTTAAAGGAAAATCAGAAAATTTTCCACAAAATTGTTTTATAAATAATATTTTTGCTTTTACAAAATGTTTTTTTAAAGATCTATTGATTAATTGTCACTGCTTTGGTGGATATAAGTTACATCTTTCTAAATTGTGGGTGGTTTTTGAAGAATGAATTCACAATTTTCTTGGTATTCTTTATTTTGTCCAGGAAGATATGCTTAAATTTGTTAGTTTATTTCAGTTCAATTTTTCCCTTTTTCTAATTCTGAATATGAACAATTTTATACTAACCTGTTTAATGAAAAAAGTTCAGGGGATGAGTTTAAAATATTTGAAAAACAACTGTCCTTTTGTGCATGCTGAGAAATTTACTGTACGCCTGTTGAATTTTTATAATATTGTTTAATTCAAATATCACCTACTTTAAGAGGTTTTCTCTGATATTTTCAACTGGACATGATCACTTTCTCTCTTTTTCAAAAATGACAACTTTAGTTTGTATTTATTGCAGCATTTTCCATGGTTTATCTTATAGTACTTACTTGAGTAATAGCTCTAGACTTCAGCATATGATAACTTTTAGTATATGATCCATTCTTTCTTAGTAATTTTTGCCTCTTTCATCCTTTCCTGGGTTTTTGAATATTGTGTATATTAATATTGTTGGCAGACTCTCGTGAATTAGTATTAGTCCATTTTCATGCTGCTAATAAAGATATACCTGAGACTGGGTAATTTATAAAAGAAAGAAGTTAATGGATACACAGTTCCACATGAACAGGGAGGCCTCACCATCATGACAGAAAGCTAATGAGGAGCAAAGGCACATCTTACATGGCAGCAGGCAAGATGCCAAAGTTAATTCCACATTTTCGGGTGTCTTTATAGCAGCGTCCCACTCCCAGTACCAATTTACTGTATTAGTCCATTCTCTAATGAAGACATACCTGACACTGGAATTGATAAAGGAAAGAGGTTTAATGGATTCACAGTTCCACATGGCTGGGAAGGCCTCACAATCATGGCGGAAGGCAAAGAAAGAGCAAAGGCACGTCTTATATGGCAGCAGGCAAGAGGGCATGTGCCGGGGAACTTCCCTTTAGAAAACCATCAGATCTCATGAGACTTATTCACTCTCATAAGAACAGCATGGAATAAAAAAAACCCACTCCCATGATTCAATCACCTCCCACTGGGTCCCTCCCACAATACATAAGGATTATTATAAATCAAGGTGAGATTTGGGTGGGGACACAGGGACAAGCCATATCACCTGGGTGTTTTTTGTTATTTCTGTTGTTTTTCATTTTGTATTCAATACAAGTGTCTTAGTGACTCTATAATTTAGATGGAAATTCAAGACCACTAAACCTGCAGAATGGTAAAATTTACTGGCTGGTGATTTTGTCTGCTCCAAAAAATATTTTATCTAAAGCACATTTTGAGTTGCCTTTAATTTATAATAAATGTATCATATATGGATCCAAAGGTAAAAATCTCTCTCAAATACAAATTAAAAGGCTTTATTTATTCTGATCACATTCTTTATAATTTTACAGAGTATTTACCACCTCAGTCTGATATTTCCAGGATGAAAACCCTTAATCTTTTAAATTAGTTATCATATGACAGATACTTGAGCTTTTTATTCTTCTGAAATACAGCTACACTATCATATCTTTCCTAAGTTTTCAGGACCGAAAACATACCTGTTCTCTAGGTTTGAATGAAACATAAATAACTAGATTTATTTCTGATTTACTTTTATCCTATATGTTTAGAAGCCAAGAGCCCTGTTAGCCTTTTGGGGTAGAGCAATTCATTAAAATGTGGCCTCAATTTTACCTAAGTAAAATTAAAAATACAGTTTCTTAATCATACTAGCCAGATTTCAAGAGTTCAAAAGTCACATGTGGTCATTGACTAACTTTTTGGATAGTGTAGATATGGAATGTTTCAGTGTAGATATGGAATGTTTCCACCGTCATAGAAAATTCTTTGGAACCACAGGAACAGTAGTTTATAGTTTATCTTTTATTTTACAGCAGCTTTCACAGATAGACACTTTACATGAGCTCCATCCAAACTTCCAAATTAAAAACAAAGAGACATTTTGCTTGCACTGAAAAATTCATTTTCCCATGTCATTTGTTTTTTAGTTCTAACATTTCTTTGACTGTTATAAAAAATTTTTGTGCCAAAATGTAGGTATTTTTTCCAATGCCTGACAGCTCCCTAATTTTTCTTTTTATTACTGGTTTTCAGTAATTTTATTATAATGTGTCTGGTGTGGCTTTATATATATCTATTCTGATTGAGGTTCATTGACATTCTTGGATCTGTGGGATTATCATTTTTATCAAATTTGGAATATGTTGACCATTAATTTTCTTGAATATTTTTCTACTAGCTCCACTGGGATTCCACATTTATATATGTTTAACAGCTTGACAGAGTTAAATATTAACTGATTGAGGCTCTGTATATTTTCTCGGTGTTATCTCTATACTACATTTTACATATTCTCTATTTCTGCAACTTCAAATTCACAAATTTGTTATTCTGCAGTTTCATCACCATTCAGTGAGTTTTAAAAAAATTTTCATATATTATAGTTTTTATCGTTAGAAGTTCCATTTTTAATATCTTTAATGTCTCTTCTGGTCATAGGTCATATTTTAATTTTTAAGATCTGTAGGAGTTTTTGATTGGATGGTGAAAATAGAGTATTTTATGTGATTGAATATCTGAGTTCTACTTTTTCTTTTTTTGAGATGGAGCCTCACTTTGTCACTAGAGGGCAGTGGGGTGCTTTCTGCTCACTGCAACCTCTGATTCCCAACTTCAAGTGATTCTCCTGTCTCAGCCTTCCAAGTAGCTGGGATTACAGGTGTGCGCCACCACACCTGGCTAATTTTTTTGTATTTCTAGTAGAGACAGGGTTTCATCATGTTGGCCAGACTGGTCTCAAACTCCTGACCTCAAGCCATCCGCCCACCTCAGCCTCCCAAAGTGCAGGGATTACAGGTGTGAACTACCACACCTGGCCTAATTAGTGTTTTTAAAGAAGTGTTACACTTTTCTTTGATAGACAACTGGGTTGTTTCTGGTTTAGTCTGATCATCTTAAACCATGTTTTCAACTTTTGCTAGGGTGGTCACAGAATACCTTTACCTATAGGAATCCTTAATCCCCATTACTAAGGCCCACCCTTCTGATGCCTAAATTTAATTCTGCAGGTAGTCAATTTGAATTTTCCACTGCTGCAGGTAGGAACTTAAAGGATTCTTGGCCTTTTGCAGTTCTTGGAATCATTCAGTTCACAGCTTTGCAATAACTTTTTGCCCAGCCTCATTAAATTGTACGCTTTGCATACATGACTTAGATATCAGCATGGGCTCAAAGCATTTTAAAGCAGATTTCTAGAGTTCTTTTTCTGCATAGCTCTCTTGTCTCAAGAAACCGGTCACACAAATTCCAACTGCCCCAGATGCTCTGAACTATTATCCGTATCTCCTCAACTCAGTAGGGTCACTGTCTCAGTTTGCAATATCCTCCCCACTTCACTGACACTGCTGTAGACCTAAAATATGTTTTCCAGGCAGAAAGCTCGGCTCTCCTAGGTTGCACTTTGTCTGTTCTCTCTCAGATGTAATGGCTCTGTACTGCCTGTAGTTTAATGTCTGAAAAACAGTTGCTTCATCTATGTTTCCCTGGTTTTCTATTTCTTTGAGTCAGGTGGGTTAATTTAGTCACTGTTACTCCATCATGGCTGAAAGTGGAAGTCTTTCTTCAACTGATTTAAAAGTTTATGAAATCAAAAAGCTATTAAACTATAAATTGAGGCATAACTTTTAGAGAATGTTGAAATGACAGAATACAATACCACAACAAAACTTACTCTTATAAACAATGATAGAAACTGGCAAGTCAGTGCTTGTGGAAAAAATTAGATATATAGATACATATAGATTTTAAGGTAAGTAAGAATTTTAATTAGAATTACACAGTTGTCAGTTTGGAGGTACAGGTATGAGTGTCATCCACATAGAGTAAAAGAACAGAGTCCAAGATAGCATGTTGATATTCACAGTGAGGATTCAAAGTACAGCAGTACCCTCAAATTAAATTTGACCAAGGGCTACTATCAACGGCAGACCACTGGGCTCTGTGAACTACAGGTCTGATCTAATCTAGCAGTTCTTGTGTTGCATTTTAACAAATGCATATCTGTCCAGGAAATAAAATGTCAGCCATAATAATTATTTACCCTTGAAAATAACTCTATAGTGTTTCTAAAAATATAGAGTCTCATATGACTTTATAGTGTCATATGAGAGCACAAACAAAATAGTATGCTTTCTATGGATTGTATTACTGATGTTGGCCTGAAATGGTAAGAAAGAAAACTGACTATAGATTACCTACCTTGATTTTTCTTGTTTCAATTAATTCTCAGATCATTTGTCTTGAGATATGCAATAGCTCAAATGGCAAGATTAAAAAAATATATATATCAACTTTTCTTTCTTCAATCCTACTTTGAATAATTCATAAAGGAACCACTTAAATTTAGCTAATCTGAATCAATACAAGGCAGTATTATAATCTTTCTTTCTAATGATGTTTTACTCTTAATTTTTATGTGAATAACTGAATGTTTTATTTATGAAATTGATCTTTATTATAAGGAGATATTTATAATGTTGGCTGTCTAATATGAAGTAAAGCTTTAAAAATCCCAGATGTAACATTGAACAACTTAATTTGAAACATTGTATGTTACTTGATTACTCTTGATTTCAGGAGTATTTGGTTTAAATGCATAATAAGTACATTTTCAAGCATATCCAATTTACATGCCTTAAAGACTTCCACCACCTTAATGCTTAATTTAGAAATGTCACTTTAAATAATTCTTAAAAATCAGATGCACTTATTTTTATAGCTGTAATATTTTAAGAGAGCCTTCATATAAAAATATAGTTGTCACTGACAAACGGTATCAATTAGCTAATGTTCAACAATGATCATCAATGTCAGAGACTGTAACCTTGTTGAAATTGCAGTTTAGCCATAATGGTGTCGATAAATTAATAGGTACTATAGATGATGCTTGACCAAAAATAGGTTGTTATTAAATGTTGTGGAAGGAAGGAAGGAATTTTCAAGGCCTTAAAAATAAATCTGTATGTGCTAGAATATTAGAAATAAAAGTTTTGTTGAGTTTAATTAAACACAAGTATTCTACCAAGCTCACAAAATGATTTTGAAAAATACTCGCAATTGTCAGGCAACATAGCAGCCTTTAGCTAAGTGAATTAGAAGGTGAGGTTAAGAATAACATTTCAACAGTTACCTAATCTCCTAATTTGCTGATCATTGATAAACACTGGCTCGTATGTTTTGTTTTGTTTTGTGTTTTTATGAAACTGACATGTGCTATTGGTTCAAATAAATAGCATACGTAGTATTCTGGCTAAGTCGCTTATTTTTAAAATTGTGGTTTTCTTATGTTAAATTTTCAAATTGAATTTCTAATACCATTTTTTCTCTTCCACAGCCTTTAATGGAACAAATTGTTAGTTTCTGACAGAAGGGTTCTGATATTGAAATAGACAATGTGTCTACCTATTATAGAAATATAGAAATAAAAATGCATGTACTTAAACAGGAAATGGAGGTTACATTTCTACATTCCATCTATTATCAGACCTTAGCCATGTTGGATTTTTGGTTGCTGTTGATAGAATAAGTCAGATTTTCCTCAAACTTTCTTTTGCAAAATAGATAGATTTAATATAAAAACAACTGCAAAATGTTCAGTCATTATTCAGAGCTGAATATTGAATAAACAAATCAAGAAGCTTTGTAACTGTATGTTAAGTGATTGTAAGTTTTTTCGATTGCATTTAGCAATGCAATGCTTACCTTTTATATTACTAAATATATTCATTTTCTTCTCAAGAAAATCATTAATACTTAGGGATTAGAGGTTTCCTGAGTGTGATATTGAAAAACTGTTAAAAAGCCAGTGATACCCATTCAATCGAATGATTTACCTTTTGATTATTTGTTTTGTTTGTTTGTTTAAGGATTAAAGCACGGAGAGCCAAACATGACTGACAACACACAGACCGGCAATGTCACCAATAAGAATGACCCCAAGTCCATCAACTCCTCTGTTTTCATTGGCAATCTAAATATGCCAATTGTCAAGAAAGTTGACATTGAAGCCATTTTTCCAAAGTATGGAAAAATAGTTGCATGCTCTGTTCACAAAGGTTATGCATTTGTACAGTACATGAGTGAGCAACATGCAAGTGCTGCAGTGGCTGGAGAAAATGCCAGAGTCATTGCCGACCAACCACTTGGTAAGTCATGCTCAGACATGGATCTCGTGTTATTGTTCATATATCGGAAATTGTTTTATTTCTCAAAACCCAACACCACTGTTGTTTCTACCTCTTCTTTAACCAATTAGAGTGATTGTATATTTATAATTTATATTTTTTCATCCTCATATTGTTTTATATATAGGTATCTTATTTTCTCTACAAATTTATAAATTTGAGATCAAGGCTACTTTGCAATACTTATTACCTCCACCAATCCTAATACAGCCAGGCAAATAATAAATATTCATCAGATTTGTCTTTATTTGACTGAGATAGCATATATCTTCCAGGAAACACTATCCTATGCAAAAAATAACTTCGTTTGTTATAGCATTTGATCTGAGAGCCTCATGCATTTTCTTCATTTCCTATGGAGGAAAAGGGGTAGAAAATAGCAAAAAAAGTAAATTTTTAGAACTGGGAAAGGAATATAATTCACATTTTTAAAAATCTAGTTAAGGATTTTGTATATTATGCCTATATAATCATGCATAATAATCAGATTACTGTCTAATGTTCAAGAAATAATATAGATTTTTTTCAAAGAAAGGAAAACAATGCAGTCTGAAATAAAATTCAAAGACTTGGAAAAATATTTTATAATTAATGTGTAGATAATAATAAAAATTAGATAATTATTTAGATGTTTTTCTACCTTAGAAAAAATACAATTAATATATTAATGATTCCTCAATTTGTGTTTCTTGTTCTGTCTAGATTCAAATATCAAACTCATTGTACAGCATCTTCTCCTGGATACTCAAAAAGCATTTCAGCCTCATATACCCAGAACAATACCCATGATTTTCCACACTCTCAACCTTCTCCATTCCCAAGCTTCCTCATCACAATAAAGGGAACCCCCATTTTATCCAGTTTTTTTTTTTAAGCTTTGATTCTTAACTTCCCTCATCATCAAGTTTGCTTGTCAATATACTGCAAATATATTCCAAACCCAATCTCCTTTTCAATGTGTGCTGAAGGCCATCTCATACAGCCCACAATTGTATTGCAGGGGCGCTGAAATAACTCTGTAGTTAGTCTGCTTCTTTTTACCCTTGCCAGAGTGTTTTTTAAAAACATAGATCAGATTACATTCTTAACCTGCTTTTAAACCTCTAATGCCTTTCTCATACAGAATAAGATTCACATTCTATACCACACCTACAATGTCCTACACTTTCACATCTTCAATTCTGTCTCCTTATTCTCTCTCCCTTCTTGAATCACTCTAGTAATGCTGGCTGCCTTGATAATGCCTCAAACATTCCAAGATTATTCCTACTTCAGAGGCTTTGTATTTGCTATTCCCTCTACTCAGATGACAGGTCTTTGCTAATTATTTGCTCCCTGCTTTATTGAGTGTGCTGTGCTCAAAATTTACCTCTAATGAGAAGCTTTTACTGACCAGCCTATCTAAAATAGAATAATCATCTTCCTCCATCTTTCACTGTCTATTCCGTTACTCTGTGTTAATTTTTTTCATAGCACCTATCAGCATCTGGATTACATACTTTAATTTATAATCTTACCTGTATCCTGACCACAAAGATAAGGCTGAAGAAGCACACAAAATAAGCAAGTTAAAAGTATAGAGAAATCAAGCTAGAAGACTGTTAAGCATATTGTGAATATTATCAAGTGATACAACACAATTAAAACTATTTGGGAAGGTATGGAATTCATTAAAATGTAGGAGAAGTCGGAGGTAATAGTCTTGAGGGAAAAAAGCAAAAGATGTTTTGCATAAGTGCCTGCTATTTAACTACAAAAAATAACTATCAGATAGGAATATAATTTTTATTTACACGGGTCCCATCCAACTTTCTATATTTTAAAGAAAGGAAGTGCTTTCCAACAGACATTGGTATATTTTCCACTTGTCTTTTTGTTTTCCTTAATGTCACCATTCTGCTTGCTTACTTTGATATGGGAATTTTCTGACATTTTTGTTTTCCTTTTTAAGTTGAAAATCTTAATTCAGGACCATATCCCAGAAGATTGCCGGGCAAGCTTTGTTTACTGTCTGTATCCTGATGGTTATGAAACTAACAAATACTTGAGGAAATGCATTTAATTATTTTTGTTGTTTGAAAAGATTAATTATCAGCTTAAGATCAATTAAAAGCCTGATTCACTTTTTAATGAGCTACAGCTAATTTTCTGGAGTTCTGTTTCCTATCACTACTCAGTTGATGGCTGTCTTTTTGAGAAGAATGCAATGAACAAAGATAAATATCCACACTGGGGCGAAGCAAGATGGCCGAATAGGAACAGCTCCAGTCTCCAACTCCCAGCGCGAGCGACACAGAAGACCGGCGATTTCTGCATTTTCAACTGAGGTACTGGGTTCATCTCACTGGGGAGTGCCAGACGATCGGTGCTGGTCAGCTGCTGCAGCCCGACCAGCGAGAGCTGAAGCAGGGCGAGGCATTGCCTCACCTGGAAAGCGCAAGGGGGAAGGGAATCCCTTTTCCTAGCCAGGGGAACTGAGACACACAACACCTGGAAAATCGGGTAACTCCCACCCCAATACTGCGCTTTAAGCAAACAGGCACACCAGGAGATCATATCCCACACCTGGCCGGGAGTGTCCCACACCCACGGAGCCTCCCTCATTGCTAGCACAGCAGTCTGTGATCTACCGGCAAGGCAGCAGCGAGGCTGGGGGAGGGGCGCCCGCCATTGCTGAGGCTTAAGTAGGTAAACAAAGCTGCTGGGAAGCTCGAACTGGGTGGAGCTCACAGCAGCTCAAGGAAACCTGCCTGTCTCTGTAGACTCCACCTCTGGGGACAGGGCACAGTAAATAATAACAAACGCAGCAGCTCTGCAGACGCAAACGACTCTGACAGCTTTGAAGAGAGCAGTGGATCTCCCAACACAGAGGTTGAGATCTGAGAAGGGACAGACTCCCTCCTCAAGTGGGTCCCTGACCCCTGAGTAGCCTAACTGGGAGACATCCCCCACTAGGGGCAGTCTGACACCCCACACCTCACAGGGTGGAGTACACCCCTGAGAGGAAGATTCCAAAGCAAGAATCAGACAGGTACACTCGCTGTTCAGCAATATTCTATCTTCTGCAGCCTCTGCTGCTGATACCCAGGCAAAGAGGGTCTGGAGTGGACCTCAAGCAATCTCCTACAGCTACAACCTACAGCTGAGGATCCTGACTGTTAGAAGGAAAGCTATCAAACAGGAAGGACACCTACACCAAAACCCCATCAGTACATCACCATCATCAAAGACCAGAGGCAGATAAAACCACAAAGATGGGGAAAAAGCAGGGCAGAAAAGCTGGAAATTCAAAAAATAAGAGCGCATCTCCCCCGGCAAAGGAGCGCAGCTCATCGCCAGCAACGGATCAAAGCTGGACGGAGAATGACTTCGACGAGATGAGAGAAGAAGGCTTCAGTCCATCAAATTTCTCAGAGCTAAAGGAGGAATTACGTACCCAGCGCAAAGAAACTAAAAATCTTGCCATCAAATTCTCAAGAGCTAAAGGAGGAATTACGTGCCCAGCGCAAAGAAACTAAAATCTTGAAAAAAGTGGAAGAATTGATACAGAGTAATTAATGCAGAGATGCTCACAAACGAAATGAAAGAGACGAAAACCATGGCACGAGAAATACGTGACAAATGCACAAGCTTCAGTAACTGTCTCGATCAACTGGAAGAAAGAATGTCAGCGATGGAGGATCAAATGAATGAAATGAAGTGAGAAGAGAAACCAAAAGAAAAAAGAAGAAAAGAAATGAACAAAGCCTGCAAGAAGTATGGGATTATGTAAAAAGACCAAATCTACATCTGATTGGGGTGCCTGAAAGTGACGGGGAAAATGGAACCAAGTTGGAAAACACTCTTCGGGATATCATCCAGGAGAACTTCCCCAACCTAGTAGGGCAGGCCAACATTCAAATCCAGGAAATACAGAGAACGCCACAAAGATACTCCTCGAGAAGAGCAACTCCAAGACACATAATTGCCAGATTCACCAAAGTTGAAATGAAGGAAAAAATCTTAAGGGCAGCCAGAGAGAAAGCTCGGGTTACCCACAAAGGGAAGCCCATCAGACTAACAGCAGATCTCTCGGCAGAAACTCTTCAAGCCAGAAGAGAGTGGGGGCCAATATTCAACATTCTTAAAGAAAAGAATTTTAAACCCAGAATTTTATATCCAGCCAAACTAAGTTTCATAAGTGAAGGAGAAATAAAATCCTTTACAGATAAGCAAATGCTTAGAGATTTTGTCACCACTAGGCCTGCCTTACAAGAGACCCTGAAGGAAGCACTAAACATGGAAAGGAACAACCGGTACCAGCCATTGCAAAAACATGCCAAAATGTAAAGACCATCAAGGCTAGGAAGAAACTGCATCAACTAACGAGCAAAATAACCAGTTAATATCATAATGGCAGGATCAAGTTCACACATAACAATCTTAACCTTAAATGTAAATGGACTAAATGCTCCAATTAAAAGACACAGACTGGCAAACTGGATAAAGAGTCAAGATCCATCAGTCTGCTGTATTCAGGAGACCCATCTCACACGCAGAGACATACATAGGCTCAAAATAAAGGGATGGAGGAAGATTTACCAAGCAAATGGAGAACACAAAAAAGCGGGGGTTGCAATACTAGTCTCGGATAAAACAGACTTTAAACCATCAAAGATCAAAAGAGACAAAGAAGGCCATTACATAATGGTAAAGGGATCAATTCAACAGGAAGAGCTAACTATCCTAAATATATATGCACCCAATACAGGAGCACCCAGATTCATAAAGCAAGTCCTTAGAGACTTAAAAAGAGACTTAGACTCCCATACAATAATAATGGGAGACTTCAACACTCCACTGTCAACATTAGACAGATCAACGAGACAGAAAGTTAACAAGGATATCCAGGAATTGAACTCATCTCTGCAGCAAGCAGACCTAATAGACATCTATAGAACTCTCCACCCCAAATCAACAGAATATACATTCTTCTCAGCACCACATCGTACTTACTCCAAAATTGACCACGTAATTGGAAGTAAAGCACTCCTCAGCAAATGTACAAGAACAGAAATTATAACAAACTGTCTCTCAGACCACAGTGCAATCAAATTAGAACTCAGGACTAAGAAACTCAATCAAAACCGCTCAACTACATGGAAACTGAACAACCTGCTCCTGAATGACTACTGGGTACATAACGAAATGAAGGCAGAAATAAAGATGTTCTTTGAAACCAATGAGAACAAGGATACAACATACCAGAATCTCTGGGACACATTTAAAGCAGTGTGTAGAGGGAAATTTATAGCACTAAATGCCCACAAGAGAAAGCAGGAAAGATCTAAAATTGACACTCTAACATCGCAAT